CGTTGAAGGCTCCAATGTGTAGTTTGGAGCGGGGTTTCAGTAGACCTGGGACAGTGTTTTGCGCACTAGAATCGTTGGCTGTGGTGACACTTAAGGAGGAAGCTGAAAGAGGGAGTTTAGATTTGAAAGTCGATGCAAGAGGAATAATAGGAATTGAAGAGGTAGGTTGATTATGAATACAGTGGTCTTGAGTGCTGTTAGAGGTATGAGGGCGGTTATCACTTCCCGGTTGCCCACACCGTGGAAAGTTCTGCTGGAAGTACCTGAAAAGGAAATTGGATTAGAGGTGGTCATAGTGACCTGAGAGCGTGACCGCAGTGCCCAAGGGACGGCTGCTTGAGGTCGGTCTCACACGACCTTTTTATGAGTAATTTTTGTGTTAGCTCCGTAATTGTTGAGACCTTACCGCCGGGGACGGATATCAGTGGGATAAGGCGAGGTGTGCATTTTTAGGGTCTACCTTTTCTAACCCCTCCCCTCCTTTTGGGAAGGCAGCATCGCTGTTATGCTGGTTGTCTGAAGGAAACACCTTACTGCTGTCACACCTCTGTATAGTCAGCAGTACGACTTCGCCTTCGGACCTAGGTTTTGTTGCTTTTAGTCTTACCGCTCTTCAACCGACCTGTCCTGGCATGGTAGGACCTTGAGGAACGGTTGTTCCAGCCAGTATAGCTCAGTTGCTTCATAACGATAGGCAAGCCCGACCACCACGTCAAGGTAGCAACAACGGTCAGGACCATTATAGTAAGGAAAGACGACCAGACGCTGCTAAATCTAGCAAGCTATCAGAAGAGTGTTTACCAACGAAAAACTCGTTGGGTTTAAACTTCTGGCTGACCAGGGTATAATAAGTAACTACAAAACACTGGAAGTGGTTGTGAGACTAAGGTGGACGCCCGATATGCTTTTAATAATCTGCTGTTACTTGGGTCTCCCATAAAGTTTCATAGGGCCATAGTTATAAAGCTAAATGACTTTGTAAGATATGTGACGGTTCATTCCTGTTACATTCTCAACAAAAGATAGTAATGAATTTAGTCAAGAATGTTAAAAAGGTAAATAAACAAATTACATATTTCTAAGGAAAGAATTCATGCAGCTGTGATTTACCTCGACTTCATAGATATCAGATCACGCCAGCTAATAAAACTTGTGCAAAGTATAGCATCACACAGCTTTTATTATTTTGCTCCCACCTAAGTATTCCCATGCATCTACGTCCGGTTTTACAGGAAGATATACAAGTTGATTTGGTATCTGGTAAACTAAAAGTTCCAGCTGTCAAAAAGACTCTTCACACTTGTACACAGCCAGCAGCATTTAATTAAGACAGAACACTCCTCATCTAAGACTGTATACTGCTGTTTTGCAGGCAAATGAAAGCTCAGACACAGATATCCTGCTACCGATGCTATTGCTGCGGAAATCGTTTAATGACAGTGGTCTTTATACATGGACAGTGTTAGACGTACTATCTAGAAATAAACACCAAACGTACTTAAAGCTGTCAAATAATGTATGACAGCAACAGTACCAAATGCATTTTTTTCCTATTTTTAATCAGACTGATTTTAATCAGTATACACATTAGAAACAGGCAGCTCTACTTACTAAACTGATCTGTTTTGTTACAGGCTTCAAGCAATATACTTAAGTATACCATAATTCTTTCGACTAAACTGAATTAGTCTTCAGTCTTCAGTAATAAGGATAAGAGGTCTATCGACCTGTATTAATCCTTGCAGTTTGTAATACTGTGGAGGTCCAATCTCGTCTTGAATATATCAACAGAAGGTGCTGATATTACGTGTTCCGGTAGAAAATTCCAGTGATTCACTACTCGATGCGAGAAACGAAACTCCAGACGTAAACGATTTGATCTCGGTTTTTGAACTTTTTTCGAGTGTCCTCTCAAACGATCGGTCCTAGACGGAAGTAAAAGATAAGACATGTTAATACCAAGGTCATCATTCAGTATATGATAAGCCAATATTAGATCACCCCGTATTCGACGGTAAGATAACGGAAATAAGTTGAGGTGTCTCAATCTGTCTTCATAAGATAGTCCAGATAGACCTTGTACCATCTTAGTACCTCGTCGTTGGACTCGCTCTAGCATATCTGCTTCATACTTAAAACAAGGACTCGCTGCTTGAATCCCATATTCTAAATGTGGTCGCACATAAATCGGGTATAGTAATCTAAACATTTCATCATCTAAATACTGTAAAGACCTACGAATAGACCATAATACCCCATAGCCTTTCGCAGCAGCAGCCTTACAGTGACTAGTGATTTTGAGATCACTACTTAAGATGACTCCCAAATCTCTACAGTTTCTTACTTTGGGTAGTGCGAATCCACATATTGTATAGTGATACGATTCATCGTTGTTATTTAAATGCATCACCATACTCTTATTAGGATTCACTTCAAGTGACCACCTGTCTAACCATGCCACCAATGAGCTAAGATCATTCTGTAATACTATTTTATTCGACATACTGTGTATGGGTCTCCAAATTTTTATGGCATCAGCGAATAGTAGAACGGATGATTTTGCTACAGCTGCTAATTCATTTACATAAAGTAAAAAGAGAGGAGGTTCGAAGATTGTACCTTGGGGAACTCCACTTTTTACAGGTATCCACGAGGAAAGAGCCCCATTAACCCTTACCCTTTGTCTCCTGTCATGGAGAAAGTTACTTATCCAATCTACGACTGTATAATGGATTCCGAAGCGTTCCAGTTTGAATTTAAGACCAGAATGAGAGACCTTATCGAAATCCTTACTTAGATCTATGAAGATCGCATCTACAGGAATATTCTGATATTTTGCAGCAGCCCAATCTTCTCTTGCAATGAAAAGATTTGTTAAGCACGATAGGCCTCTCCGAAAACCATGTTGTTCCCTGGAGAAAAGATTATGCTTTTCAGCATAGTTTATAACAGATATCCGAATGATTGTTCCATCAGTTTTACAACTGCACTAGTTAAGCTTACAGGTCTATAGTTAGTAACTAAATCCCTACTCCCAGCCTCATACACCGGACTCATTATAGCGTCTTTCCAGTCTCTGGGCAGTCTGGACTGTTTCAGAGACATGTCAAATAGTATCGCTAATGGTTCAGCAATTACATCTGATATGGCTTTCATAATCCTAGGATGAATATTATCAGGATCGCTGGACTTATCAGGTTTGATGTGCTGAAGTAGCCTTAAAACAGTACCTTTCTCAATGACCGCAGGATCCATCAATGAGCCATCACGATCATAATGAATCGTTGGTCGTACTTCATTAGTGATTGAAAACACTTTACTGAAATATCCCGATAAAGCATCAGCTTTTTTGATATCATCTTCTGCCAAGATTAACGGATTTTCTTGTATCAAAAGTGACGGAATTCCATCACTTCTCTGAGTTCGCCTTTTTATATGTGAGAATAAACGTTTCAGACTATATCTAGAAACCCTAACCAATTGTTTTTCGTATGATCGTCTAGTCTTACTTATTAAAGCTTTACAGGCATTCCTAGTCTTACAATAACTGGATCGGTATTGTTCTAAGCCAGTGAAGATGAACATATTCCAGTGCTTCTTCCTTCTTCTAAGAAGTTTCTTAACTGGTTTAGTTATCCATGGTGGACTATTATTCGGTCTTCGCAGTACTAGGTATGGTATGAACGAGGACGTACTTAAACTAAACTTACCTTTAAATACAGACCATGCTTCTTCAACTGATAAGCTAGTATCTACAAACCAATCTGTCTTAGCAGCGTATTCCTGAATGGCTGATATGTTAGCTTTCCATACATTTAGGCGGGGTGTAACCTGATCGTATAACATGTCCCTAGTTCTAAACGAGAATGACAAAACAGAGTGATAACTGTTTACTAACGGTGGGAGAACATTTAGGTCGACAATATCTTCATTATCATGAGTGATTACCAAGTCCAACAGAGAAGAACCTTGGTTAGCACCAAAACATGTAGGTTTGGATACATGCTGCACTAATGCATGCTCCATTATTGTTATCAGGAACCTATTATCAAAGGAGTTTATAGATCCTTCTGTGGTCATCTCAGTCCAACTAATGTCAGGTGCATTAAAGTCTCCTATTATCAAGCATCTGGTATTAGCACTCCAAAGATGAATGTGCTCTAAAATAAAGTCATCAGCTAAGCGAATTGGGCTGTGATAGATGACACCGAGCATAAATGTACTACACCCGATAGCCAATTTACAGCTAATGACTTCACAAGTACCGCTGTCGTGGGATTCGCTGGCAGAGGAGCGGATATCTATATTATTGGCTATACATAACAGTACGCCACCTACTTTTCTACATCTATGTCTATCACTCCTTAGATAATGGTGTCCGGATAATTATGGAGTAATGTCTAAGTCATGGACTAACCAAGTTTCTGTCACTGCTACGATGAGTGGCCTTAATCTGTCCACTAATGCCTCTAGTTCATAGAACTTATTTCTTAGGCTACGAGCGTTGGCATATAAAACTCCTAGGTTGAACGGCCTATCCACATAGGCCTTGGTAGCATTCGCTTCCAAGACCTGACTATCCGCAAATTTTCCTCACCAGTTTGTTGACGGATTTCTAGTTCAGTTAGTGCTTTCTTTCCTTTTATTCTATCTTCGAGAGACATATGAAGTCTAACTCGGATATCGGAATTGTCGTGACAACGAGCATTACTTAACAGGAGATCACGTTGCTTCTCTGATCCTAGGATCACCTTTAGAATACTAAACTGAGCAAGTTTCATAATTATTGTTTCATTTGCACAGACATGTTGCTCAAAGTAGTTAAATGGACATAATTCAGCCGATAAAACCAAAACACGAAATATAGGCTGTGGTGGACCAGATAATATATTAATCCAAAAGGTAATAATAGTTATTTATAACAAATAGCAATATTTAAAGATATATAAGTTAAATGTCATAAACACAATAGAAATAAGGAACGTTACTTATTTTACCAGGAGATTGCGTGTTCCAAATTGATCTGGTGTTAAATATCCACAATTATAGAGGATTAATAATTCCTGCGAGTGTGATGGGTTCCCCAATGATATGATTAAGTAATAAATATGGTATATTCCAATTATCGTCTGTAAAGATAAATGGTACTTGCTTTAGACTTCAGTTAACACAAATGCAAGTGAATTTAGAACGAGAGGCATGTGTGTAGTAGTGTATTTGGGACAGTCACAGAAAGTGTCACGCTATGTTAGTATCACAACGGAAAAAGTGATCAAGGTCATTTACTAAAACAACAGGTACAATGATTTAATAATAAATGTACACACAGTGAAAGATTGACAAAATGAATACAAATAATATTAAAAATTATTTACGAAATAAGTTTGACAGACCTATCTCCACATAGCTCCCCCCCAGAGTTTCCGGAGGTAAAACTGGTTGTATTTACAAAAAAAATGTAAGAATATGATATATACATATGTACAAAAATAATGTTTACAGTTATAAACAAGAAAATTTGTGGAGATAGATATGGCATATTCGTTAGTTAAATGCATTGTGTTAACGTTTGAGAATAGTAGTAATGTAACATAGCGTAACGAACAGAAAAAAAAATGGAAACACTATCAATGATAATGATGTGCAAAACTGTTAATAACCCACACACACAAAAAAATGAACTGTTTATTTTCGTGTACATTGAATACGTAATTACTCGTTTATTATTGTAACAAAAAGAAAAAATTTATATATATATTTATTAAAAAAAATGTGACGAAACGAATAATTGTGAAAAAAAAGATTAATTATGTACACTGTGAAAAAGGGAAAAAAAAACATTGAGTAGGATTGATATTGTGGGTCCTTGATGATTGTTTGTTTTGATTGGTTGTAATTTTTTTTTTATACGGCGAAATGTACATAACGTTTCGGTTTTTTTACAAGTCTCCCAGAACGTGTTAAACAAGAGGGGGTACTGTTAAGTTTTTGTTTTTCCTCTTGTTTCTTAGCGATAGATGGGAGTGGTGATTCGTTCGTAGTATTGTCTTCCGCGTCTTGAAGAATTTCGTAGAAAGCCGGTTTTATTCGGTCTATGGAAATTGTCTCATTCCTTCCATTTTTATTGATGATGAAATGTTTGTTTGTTCGTTTAATTACTTTGTAAGGTCCTTCGTACGGTTGTTTCAATGGTTTTTTCACTGCGTCGACTCGAACAAAAACGAATTTACAGGCCTCTAGATGTTTATCAAGTTGTATGCGGTTGTTATGTTCGCGCGGAGGTATCGCTTTAATGCGTTGCATCGTTTGTAATAGTCGGCTTGCGAAACCATTTGGATCATTTGACATTATTGATTCTTGCTCGACCAACTGACCCGGTAATGTTAATGTAGTACCGTAAACTAGTTCAGCTGAAGTGCATCCTAAATCCTCCTTGATGGTTGAACGGATTCCCAGGAGTACAAGTGGTAGTGCGTCACTCCATTTTGTTGTATCAGTTTGTGCCATCAATGCGCTTTTCAATTGGCGGTGAAATCTTTCGACCAGACCATTAGCCACTGGATGATAAGCTGTCGTTTTAATGTGGTTCACACCCAGAAGTCTTGTGAATTCCTGAAATAAGATAGACTGAAACTGGGGACCACGATTTGTAGTGATGATAGATGGTACTCCATAGTTTGATATCCATCGGTCAAGGAATGTAGCGGCTACTGTCTCTGCAGAGGTGTCGGCGATGGGACATGCTATAGCCCATCTTGTAAATCTGTCCACTGCGGTGAGTATATGTGTGAATGATTTTGATGGCGGCAAGGGACCGACTATATCTAGATGGATGTGTTGGAAACGTTTATCCGGCAAAGGGAACTTCCCAACAGGACTGACTGTGTGTTTTTGAATTTTGCTGCGTTGACATTGTAGGCAGCTTCGAGTCCATCGTTTTATATCTGAGTTAATCTTTGGCCACACGAAACGTTCGGTAATCAGTTTAGTTGTGGCTCGGATTCCTGGATGTGAAAGACCGTGTAAGTGTCGGAATATTTCTCGTCGGCAAGCGTATGGGACGAAAGGGCGGTTGTTGCCTGTTGAGGTGTCGCACATGATGAAAGTATCTGAGAAAGGCATGGGTATTGGTTTAAGATTCAAGTTAGACTTCTCTTGGCAGGCTTTTAATTCTGCATCGTCTACTTGGAGTTTAGCTAAAGTTTCGAGACTGATGTCGTTGTGTACTATCATGTTAATGTCCTTTCTAGATAGAGCATCAGCGACAATGTTGGAAGAGCCTTTGATAAACTGGATGTCTGTAGTAAATTGAGAAATATAATCCAGTTGTCTGGCTTCCCGAGGAGAATGCTTATCATACGAAGTGCTAAAGGTGTAGCAAAGGGGTTTGTGATCAGTCATAACAGTGAAATCACGACCCTGTAGCAGGAAGTTGAAATGTTTGACGGCTAGATACATAGCTAAAAGTTCACGTCCAAAAGTGCTATAACGTTCTTGTGCTGACGATAATCTCTTCGAGAAAAAGGCGATGGGGGTAATTGTGTCGTTTACCCGCTGTTGCAGTACTGCCCCGACGGCTTTCTGTGAAGCATCCGTGCACAGAATCAGATGGGTTGTGGGGTCAGTATTTAGATGTTGTAACATCGTGGCGTTGGCTATCATAGATTTAGCTTTCTCAAATGCTGCTTTGGCATCAGGAGGTAATTTGAACATTTGGTTCTTTTCTTTCTTGGTGCCTGCTTTATCGCTTTTCAGTAAATCAGTTAACGGTTGTAGTACTTCAGCGCAATGCGGTAGGAATCGTCGATAAAAGTTGCATGTCCCAAGGAAACGTCGTAGTGATTTTACAGAGGTTGGTTCTGGATAGCTAATGATGCCTTCGACTTTCTCTGGGAGAGGTTTAATACCTTGGGAGTTGATGTAGTGTCCTAAAAACTCTAAGGCTGGAACACCGAATATACATTTAGCAGGATTAATAACAACACCGTGTTTTTTGAAACGTTCGAAGAGGATCTGTAAGTGTTGGATATGCTCTTCGAGTGATGAACTAGCGATTAAAACATCGTCGATATAGGCGAATACAAAGTCTAATCCTCGTGTAACTTCGTCCATAAACCTCTGAAACGTTTGTGCGGCGTTTTTTAGCCCGAATGGCATCCTCAAAAATTCAAACAGACCAAAAGGAGTGATTACGGCTGTTTTTTCAATGTCTTCGGGTGCCATTGGAATTTGATGATAGGCTTTTACTAAGTCAAGTTTCGAAAAAAATTGTTTACCATGTAGATTTAAGGAGAAGTCGTGTATATGTGGTATGGGGTACCTATCCGGGATAGTTTGATTATTTAATCTTCGGTAGTCTCCGCATGGTCGCCAATCTTGGTCCTTCTTTGGAACCATGTGCAGCGGCGAAGCCCAAGGACTGTTTGATTGTCTAATTATTCCGAGTTGCATCATATGTTCAAATTCTCTTTTAGCAATCTGTAACTTGTGTGGTGGAAGTCTCCTTGCTTTAGCACTAATGGGTGGTCCCGTAGTGATGATATGATGCTGTACGTGGTGTGCTGTGGGTTCCGTCTGATAATTTACTTTTGTGATACATTCGTATTCCTTCAGAATGTCAGTGAAAAGTTTGTTTTCCGGTTTTACTATATGAACACCGTAAATCTCATAGTCAGTAGCAAGCGTACCATTTACTTGTAAACGTGTGCATCGGTCAATCAACCTCTTGTTGTTCATATCTACTAATAATTTGTAGGAACTTAGGAAGTCGGCTCCGAGAATGGGTTGCTTAATTTCAGCTACAATGAAAACCCACGTGAAACGTCTGCGGAGACCGAGGTCTAGGATAAGTGATTGATCTCCATAAGTTTTAATGGTTGTGTTATTGGCCGCAACTAGGGATAATTTGTTGCTTGGAGAGTGCCGTCGTTTAGAGAGGTGCAATGGGATAATGCTGATTTCGGCCCCTGTATCGACCAAAAAATCTGAGCCCGAAATTCGGTCCCTGACATGAAATAGACGGCTCGTTGTGTGGCCAGAAACAGTCGCCGCCACTACTGTCTGGCCAGTTCGTTTCCCTGATTCTCTGAGTCAGCCGCGGAAAATGTGCACGGTCTTGTGCAACGCCGTGCTTTGGTGCCATATTTTTGGTGATACCAACAAATACCTACTGTCTTCTTGGGAGACCTTGAACGATGTCTTGACTCTGCTCTTTTTCTAGAAAGGGATGTATTAGGTCGAGAATGAATACTCGCAATAGTAGCCTGTAATGACGCTAACTGAGTTGTTAACTGTGTTAATTGTTGCTGAATGTTGAGTGTTGTGTTCGTATCGCCATTACCAGAAGTTTGTATCGCGTTTAGACAATGCTTGTCGGGGTAGATCTCCATCATCTTGTCCGCCATGTCGGCTAAATCCTCGAGAGCGACAGTTCGCCCTGAGACGCTAGGGATTTGTCTCACATTATGTGGTAATCTTAACTCAGTAATGGCATTCACTGAACTTAAAATATTATTTTCTGTATGTAATGAATCAAGGGGTTTCATTGGGGGACATTCCATATCTATAAGTTTATTTGGAGAGTTCATGATATAAAAAAAACTATTGTTTCAAGTAGAAATATAAACAATAAAACTAAAATACACTCTAGGCTCACCAAATAATTGTGGTGGACCAGATAATATATTAATCCAAAAGGTAATAATAGTTATTTATAACAAATAGCAATATTTAAAGATATATAAGTTAAATGTCATAAACACAATAGAAATAAGGAACGTTACTTATTTTACCAGGAGATTGCGTGTTCCAAATTGATCTGGTGTTAAATATCCACAATTATAGAGGATTAATAATTCCTGCGAGTGTGATGGGTTCCCCAATGATATGATTAAGTAATAAATATGGTATATTCCAATTATCGTCTGTAAAGATAAATGGTACTTGCTTTAGACTTCAGTTAACACAAATGCAAGTGAATTTAGAACGAGAGGCATGTGTGTAGTAGTGTATTTGGGACAGTCACAGAAAGTGTCACGCTATGTTAGTATCACAACAGAAAAAGTGATCAAGGTCATTTACTAAAACAACAGGTACAATGATTTAATAATAAATGTACACACAGTGAAAGATTGACAAAATGAATACAAATAATATTAAAAATTATTTACGAAATAAGTTTGACAGACCTATCTCCACAAGGCCAGTCGAACTTACTTAAAAGAAGACAAAGGATATATACATTGCTTTCAGACTGAAGACAACAGTCAGTTGTTCATAAAAACATAGTTTACAGTACAAAAAACCTTCCTTCAGTAACATTATGCACTGACGGTCTATAAGATTAAACTCACTATGACTTGGGATATCACCCCAGAATGCAATGAAAGTACAGTGTAACGCGTGGCAAATAAAAATTATAACCACAGCAAAATTAACAGCATAATCTACTTATTTAATTAAACATACATACATGACTGCAGACACAATTTCTACTCCTTAAAAGTTGTCAAATGCTGGAACTCGCTGCCAGCTGAGCTAGTCCAAGCAACTTCCCAGGAGTCCTTTAAGAGGCGACTTGATCTATTCTTAAGGACTAAGGATAGTATCCTACTATGATTTACCAATTCATTTTCTTTCTATTTTATCGTTAATATACCTAGGTTCTTGCCTGGAGGTATTGGTGATCCACTGCTACTACACACGGAAGCCTGTTAAGCGAAAGCTTCTTCTATTCCGTCCGCAACCATTTGAACCATTTGAACTTGAACGCACAGATGACTCTGGGCGATACATTAAGTTTACATGGTTGCGTTGCAGATGAATTCATCCACTTTTATTAGTTTTTACATCGTCATAACAGACAATATTATCAGACAATTTTATCAGATCAATCTGTAGAATCAGAGATGAGATTTTTTTGTAGTGTATACATTTTGCAATAAAATCTTTCTCTCCTTACATTTTGCTTGATAAATTATGTTGTTAAATAGGCAATTAAAAATGATAAATAAAACAATCATGTTTTGCCAATAGTTGAAAATAAATAAGTCTGTAAGTCTTCCATATTTATACCTAACTCATTGGTTTTACCGGACACACCTAGCTGAAGGCGATCGGTCACGCATTCTCATCAGATCACTAGCACATTCACCGTGCCTCACATACCTTGAGACTACAATACAGCTAAGACCAAACAGCTTCCGTTATATCGATAGTTTTCCAAATTCATTGTCGAATTCCTTCATTCCTGGCTTCTGAATTAAATGTGTTGGCATACCTCGATTATAAAATTGTTACGTGTAAATGCGTTATCAAACTGTGAATATCTGTGGCATCTCCGTTGATGAGATAAACATGATCTGGTACACCAAACAGTAAAGTGTGAGTCCTTTTTTATGGAACATTAAATATCATTCTTCAAATTTCTTATTTTCACAAGTTGCGATAATCTTTACATATTTTCGGATACTTTTTCCTCGTCCATTGGTATATCATATTTCCATCATGACGGGACTGACGCCTAAGCTATTTAAGTTTAAAACTATTTTGTCCCCCAGCTTTCAACTCATGCCATTCTAACCCGACGCTATAAAAGCCTGGTTCTAATATGCAGAAGTTGACTTCTGCGAGCACGTGTAACAGACTCACGTGCACGATACCTCACAGTAGTGAAAGCTAAACCGCGCGATTTTAACAGTACGTCATGCCTGGTATTTTTGTAGTGGCGTTGGATTAAATTAGGAAGTCACATCATGACAAATCTACAATATAGGGATAAGGCCTTTTATTAGAGCAGTAATAATAACGAAGTAGACCATAAATCTATAAGTTAGTTAATGATGTATCGGAACAATACAACACTTTGGATAAGACTATTATTAAACTTGGAGTCCCAATCGACCGCCAAAAGTCAGACTAAGCCCTTGTAGCGTGGTGTCGAGTTGAGCTGAACTATGAACACCGCTACCAGACTACTTGCCAATTAACCAATAAGATTCCGAAAGGCCAAAAATCAGAAGGCAGATGATTGTAGTAGTCGTATATATTTGTTGGCGATCTCGTGGTATCAAAAGAATACCGAGATCGTGCCAAAGGAGTACAAGTGTGGTTACTGAGCGTAACCGGATTCGTACAAGTTCGAAGTCAACGGGAGAGTAAGTATAATGGCTGTTATTAGCACAGTTAAACAAACGAGCACAGTAAAACAGTCACTGGTACAATTGGCTATAATAATAATTGTTTTCATCGAACCAATCGCGTTCTGTTGACAAAAGTAGGTCACTACAGGAGCCCCCCGCTAGAAAGGGTTTACACTTTCGATAGTTAGCGGTTTGATTCGTGGGACTGATCGGCAGAATTGCGGTTGTAGGACGGAGGAAATTGGCGGAACAGGAAGTGATCATTGATCCTCGAGTTGCCAACGAAAGTCTTTTGCGCAGAACGGTAACAGGAGAAGTGTGCTGTATTTGTTGGTCGAATTAGCATACCACACCAGAGTGGTTTGTATCCAGAATCTGATGATTGCGTTCGTAGGGATGTGAACCAGAAAACGCTGCAGACGTAGGACGAAACCACGTTGAGCCAAGAAACCGGACGCGACCATAACGACCAAGCGTATGCCAGGCGAATTCGAGACCAGATAATCGACTGAGTGCGTTGACTAGAGCATGGGTGGCCAAACCAGCTTTTGCCAAAATTGACTGAAGTCGACGTTATCAAACGGGCGATGGTCGGAGACGTGGGCTCCGGATACAAAAAAAATCAAAAAAAAGAAAAGTGTAGCATGCGTGTAGTATAGGAATAATCCTACACCGTATCCGTTATTGACTGCGTTTAGTCGCGAAAGCGTACGGGTAATCGTACTCGGCGACCGGAACGTGAGACGGTGGTCTCGTTCGTACTTCGTGAGCCTGCGATTTCATCCGAGGTCAAGGGCGGCGTGGTCTGCCGATCTGGACGTGAGACGGAAGTCTCGTCCGCAGATGGTGCAGATGACGCGTGCTGTTGACCGGGACATGAGAACGTCTCTGATGTATCTAGCGTGGGATCCGAGGTAGACGTAGAGATCCCGCTAGAAGGTTTGATAGGTCTAGCATTGAGTCTCAAGTTATCGGGTAGGGCACTGTCATCGACGTGTACTGGTTTGAGACGATCAATGCTGACGATCTCGACGCGGCCGTGTCGATCAACCTTGAAGGTCTTTTCGTGACGAGAGATCACGTGAAAAGGGCTTTCGTAAGGCTGTTGCAAAGGTTTGCGTACCGAATCTACTCGTATGAAAACATGTGAACAGGTAGATAACTCTCGAGGGAGAGCGACCTGTCGATGTTGTATTCGAGTTGACACCGGAGACAGCGTTCGCATAAATGCAGACAGTCGATGGACGTAGTCTGATTTACCGAAATCATTACTGCTCCGTGGTGTAAAGAATTCCCCAGGCAGACGCAATGTCGTGCCGTATACAAGTTCAGCGGCGGAACATTGGATATCTGCCTTCAAACTCGTTCTGATGCCTAAGAGAACGAGCGGTAAGGTTTCGTACCAATTGTCGTTTTCGTGTGCTCGAAGAGCACTTTTAAGTTGGCAATGAAACCGTTCGACTAAACCATTCGATGCTGGATGGTAGGCGGTAGTGCGTATGCGTTCCGTACCAAGCAGTCTGGTCAGTGAGGAGAATAATGCGGACTCAAATTGTTGTCCTCGGTCAGTCGTGACAGTCGAGGGACAACCGTACAATGCTATCCATCGTTCTACGAAGCGGTGAGCAATTGTCTCCGCCGTGATAGACGTGATGGGAATAGCTTTGGGCCATCTTGTAAAACGGTCAATGCACGTGAGTATGTGATCATACCCATGCGATGGTGGCAATGGTCCTACAATGTCTATATGAACGTGATCAAAGCGAGCATCAGGCGTAGCGAACGTGCCAATGGGGGCAGCTACGTGCCTGTGCACTTTTGATCGTTGACACTGTAAGCATTGCTTTACCCACATACGAACATCTTTATTCATGGACGGCCAGACGTATCGTGCAGCGATGAGGCGTAATGTGGCTGCGATACCTGGATGAGACAATCCATGAAGGGCATCGAAGACGAGACGGCGATAGTTAGAGGGTACGATGGGTCGAGGAAGACCGGTAGAAATATCACATAGGATAGTACCTGAGCTAGTAGCTAGGGGTACTTCCTGACACTGAAGGGACGAAGATTGTGGTGCTTCTGTACAGACAGGATCGTTTGCTTGCGCGGCGGCCATAGCAGGAAGATCGAGCACCGGTAAAGTAACTGCATTCGTCTGGATACGTGAAAGAGCATCGGCAACATAGTTCGACTCGCCTTTAATGTGACGAAGGTCTGTCGTGAACTGTGAGATATAGTCCAAATGTCTGCACTCTCGTGGTGAGTAGCGGTCAGACTTGGTATGCAGGGCATACGTTAAGGGCTTATGGTCGGTGAATAAGATGAATTGACGTCCTTCTACTGCGTGCCGGAAATGTTTGATGGCGCAGTAGGCTGCAAGCAGCTCGCGACCAAAAGCGCTATATCTCGTCTCCGTGGGAGTAAGGCGTCGTGAGAAAAATTCGAGCGGTTGCCAACTACCGGAGATATTCTGTTGCATAACGGCTCCTATAGCAAAATCTGATGCATCAACCGCTATACTAAGCGTGGCTGATGGGTCAGGATGAGCGAGAAGTGTAACTTCAGCGAGAGCCGTTTTGATCTCTGAGAATGCAGTACGTGCGGTATCGTTCAATTCTAATTTGCGTGGATTACCGCGTAGTAAATCGGTTAATGGTCGTAACCGTTCTGCCGCGTGAGGGATGAAACGTCGGTAGAAGTTAACCAAACCGAGAAAAACCTTCAGTTCCTTGAGTGAGGACGGCACGTTGTACTCCTTGATTGCTCGAATTTTGTCCTCGCAAGGCAGAATACCCTCTTGTCTGATGATGTGACCCAGAAATATTATTTCTGATTTACCCAATTCACATTTCTCTGGGTTGACTACTATTCCATTATCCGAAAGACGTTGGAATAATAGCGTAAGGTGTTGATAATGTTCA